GTCCTCTTTTGGAAGGCCAAACAAAGTAGTTTCGCTTTCACAACGAAACACACAGCTCTTCACGACATGGCGGCGGCAACAACAATACTACAGCGAGAATAAAAGTTACGCCTTCTTTCTTTGCGTGAACATTTGGGCGGCGTTATGCAAATCTTCCCACATAGTGACGTAGACATGTGGGGGCGTGTTAGAACGAGCCGTTTTAGGTAGGCGTGGTTAACTCTTAACTTTTATAAAGAATATCTCTTTGGATTTGAGACTTTAGTCTTTGCAACTTTACAGATCTTCTTTATGCACCAAGAGCTTGTAACACTCTGTCAAGAAAGGAAACATTGAAATCGCATCATATGACCCTTTTAATGTGATTAATATGACTGTAATGCAAAAAAAAGAAGAAAAAACAATGAAATATTACAGTGCATGAAGACAGCAAGCACCATTTTTAGCACCATTAAAAAAAAATTGTGACATGATTATTAATATTACTGTAATGCAAAACAAATGAATAAATAACTTAAAATATTATATACATTTCTACTGTATTTACATGTCATGGTAGTATCTGCTATACTGCCTTTAAATAAAATTTTAATAAATTCCAATTTTCGATTTTATTGCAAAAATATTTAATACAACAAAAATAGTGTACTAATTTAATATTAAATATTTATTATATAATTAATGATTTTTTCATTATTAAGAACACTATTGCAGTACCAAGAATCAAACAAGAATAACCAATGAGAATTACAATGCAAAAAACTAAATATATTAACTAAATGAAAATAAATAAATAAATAATAATTAAAAAAAATTCTTTCTGCCAAATATAATTCTATTTCTTCCTTTTTCAGTTTTTTGATTGTAGGACAAATGTGGACATGACATGAATGTTAAGATTCAGCTTCAAAATATACAGACGTTTTAACATAGTTTTACCATAGTTTGCAATTTTTGGCATTTTATTGCTTGTGTGCTCCATGCGTAACAAATCTGACTTGTGATTTTGCGAATAACCAATAAATAACCAGCTATATTATTAATATAATATAATATAGTATTAATCTAGTCTGGGCATGGAATCAGTCTCGTCCTCAGTGTTTTCACCTCTTCCAGCCCGTCGAGCTCTTAAGACTTCTGCTTGTAAAGACACTCATGAGCGTATTTGTTATTTATTCTCTCTGAAAAAGAATTAAGCGAAAGAATAAGAAAAAAGCACTCAAAAAGCAAACAGTTCTGCCAGACACTAGTGAGATGTTTTCTGATGAGCTGATGGCAGCCGGCGGAGAATAATTACTGTCATATTCATAATCACAGCTACAGATGCAGCGGCTGCTTTGCCAGGAGATGTTCAAACAAATGACGGAGCTAAAAAATAGAAAATAAAAAACAAACCACATCAATATGAAACAGAGGATTATGCGGATGACTGGCATCGCCGGCACCATCAAACATCAACTCCAGACGAGCTGCGTTTCTGGAGCTCGACAGATGTGATCACTGTCTGCTTTCATTGTACGTAAAGATTCTTTAACCCTATATAGCTACTGTATCATACTGTATTTGATATGCAAGGCCTCTAAATGATTGACATAATCAAACCTTTGCTGTTAATCCTGTCACACACAATCTCCTCCATGACTTCTGTCGTCTGATTGATAGTTTAGACTTTTTTATCCAGTAAAAGCTCTGTTGCATATGTGACCCTGGAGCACAAAAGTAGTGTTAAGTCGCTGGGGTATATTTGTAGCAATAGCCAAAAAACATTATATTGGTCAAAATTATCGATTTTTCTTTTATGCCAAAAATCATTAGGATATTAAGTAAAGATAATTTGTACATTTTCTACGGTAAATATATCAAAACTTAATTTTTGATTAGTAATATGCATTGCTAAGAACTTCATTTGGACAACTTTAAAGGTGATTTTCTCAATATTTAGATTTTTTTTTGCACCCTCAGAATCCAGATTTTCAAATAGTTGTATCTCGGCCAAATATTGTCAGATCCTAACAAACCATACATCAATGGAAAGCTTATTTATTCAGCTTTCAGATGATGTATAAATCTCAATTTTGAGAAATTGACCCTTATGACTGGTTTTGTGGTCCAGGGTCACATTTGAGAAACATCAAACGTGCTGGACTGTTTATCAGCTCGGATCAATAATTGAGTTCAGTGCAAACAAACTTGTCCGAGCTCAGAACAGCTTTACTCGGATACCAAAGTTGATTTGTTACTGCACAGCGCTGCGAGATCCAGCGAGAAACGTTTAAACTCGCTGGAGAATGAATAAAGTTTTCTGCCAGATCTAGTGAGAAGCATTTAAATTCTGTTATAAACCGATCAAGCAGCGCTGATGTAGAAAACCAGAAGCAGTAACGCTAACTGTAACCATGTGGTTGTAGCAGAAATAGTCAAATGTTTTTCCGTTATTCATTTCAGGGTTTGTGCATCCTTTTGAGAGACTTTCAATGACTTTCAAGTATTTCACACAACTATTTCCAGCACTTTAAAGATCTAAAAATTATCCAATTTAAAAGTTATTTTAATGGGATGGGATAAACAAACACTTATTTAAAATAAAATTTAAAAAGACAGCAAATTAACACTATAACCAGTAGATGGCAACAGAGGAGCACTTATTGGCTTATTAGTCATTCATTTCCACTTTTTTGCTTTATATTTTGATATCATAAAATCACTATTATAAACTATCAAATCATCAAGAAATCAAATGTTGTCAAAGCTTTTTCATGTGAAAACTTTTCATGTGTTTGAAGTAAGAAAAGTCGCAAAGTGCCTTGAAAAACAAACTTTTGTTCAATTTGCGACTGAATCACAAAGTAAAGAGCGCTCCTTTTATAATCACTGATATTGTCGGTCAGTTCAGTATAATACTATTAAAAGAATAATGGTACATTTAATGAGCGCAGAATATTTATTTTTTTCATATTAAAATTAGATTTTGCACGTTACTGTTGTTAATAAATGTAAATTTTGTATACTTCCCAACTCCAGCTCAGTGCTTTACTGTCAAATGTGCATTAGCAAGAAATAAACGTGTATTGCTAGTAACTGCACTCGTTAATGCAAAACAGTATTTGATGATTAAATTAATTTTGTTTTTAATCATCAGGATCATTAACTGATGGACTGGAGTGCTGTGGATTATTGTGATGTTTTTATCAGCTGTTTGGACTCTCATTCTGACGTCACCCATTCACTGCAGATGATCCATTGCTGAGCAAGTGATGCAATGCTACATTTCTCCAAATCTGATGAAGAAACAAACTCATCCACATCTTGGATGACCTGAGGGTGAGTCAATTATTAGCAATTTTTAATTTTTGCTTGAACTATTCCTTTAAGACACAGTGTAAGTTTATAAAGCATATAAATATGATCAAACAGAGCCTGTATTTATGCTGCAGGAGGCTGATTGGCTCTTACCTTCAGCACTCCTCTGATGTGTTCATCGTGCACCTCCGCAGTGGACGAGCTGGGTTTGAAGGTGACCTGGAAAGAGCCACACACAGTCAGTGAGGATAGTAAACACGAAAGGGCTTTCCCTAAAGGCCAAGAAGCATCGATCGCTCATATCAGGCAGCCAGATCCCCACCAGAGAGAGCCGAGCGTCCCTGTGCTGATATCACAGACACACTGTGTCACTGAATCACTGCATGTCACAGATGATAATTACACAGAAAGTGGGGCGGACAAAACACGCTGTGCAAGAGGATGGGATAAAAATGGAGGAACAAGATGTCATATTTCCATAAATACCCACAACACTGCGAGACGCCACACATCAGGCTGCGCAAAATGCAGAATTAAGACTTGGCATCTTTTCGGTTCACAAACGAATCTGAATTCAATTGAAACCTTCCTGCAGGATGTTGAAATTTAATGACAGGAAGAAGATTTAGTGAATTGCAACTGTAGGAAAGCAAAACAACAACACAGACCAACACGGGTTTTGTGAATAAACATACATGATGCATTCGCTAGCAACACCAATGCCACAGGTTCGATTCCCAGGAAATGCATGAACTGAAAAGTGCAACGTAAGGTGTAATGTAAGGTGTTTTGATTAAAACATAAATGTATTAAAATGCATAAATGTAAAACTTAATATATAACTAAATTAATCAAATTATGCTATTTTTTCCCTTAAGTAGAACATATTTTTCTAAATTCACTAATACACTTTTGTGATTTTTTTTATTTTTATAATTGTATTTTAATTATTTAAAAACATTTTCTAAACTAAGTTTATTATATTTACATTTATGCATTTAACAGACACTTTGATAAATTATTTTTGTGATTTATTTTAATAATTTGTTATTTATATTTTAGTATTTTTTATAATTGCATTATTTATATTATTTATATTTATGTTTTATTTCTGTAAACCAAGCCCAAGACCCTTTTATTTTTTATCTTTTTATTTTTATTAGTTTATTTTAAAATAATTTTTATAATTGTATTATTTTTTTTATAATATTATAAGTTTATTATACTTACATTTATGCATTTAGCAGACACTTTTATAAATTATTATTTATGATCTTAATTTTTTTTAATAATTTCTTAAAAAAATCTAACAGCATCATAAAATGTCCAGTATTGTTCTGAGATAATCCCATAAACAGAAATATTCATAAATATTAATAAAATGTAAATACATTGATTATATGATATGCATTAATGTACTAATAATATGAGAAAGTCCAAAGTCCATTAACTGTGAAGACACATGGCAGATGTCTGACACGGCCACACATGCATTACTCCAGCTCATAAGCGCTGTGTTGTGAGCAGTTTGTGACTGTCATCAGAGAGACGTCTCGTCGTCGCAGGAGATAATAAGTCCCACGCTTCAGCATCTCGTGGCAGTCGTGTCTGATGAAGCTCTGATCACACACAGCCACTGCTGATGAAAAAACCCTAATTACAGTCACTGTCAGGACGCATGGAGGAGTCCAGACAGATAG